GTTAAAAGAGTGTTGTCCTAGAATCAAGAAACTTTTAAAAAGAATTTCTATATGAAAACTAAGTGACGGGGAAAAGTTAGCTCGAGATTTGTAGTTTACAAGTTACTGGTTATTAACAAAATTCTAGCTCACGTGTGTTATTGTCGCATTTCAGACTATCCATATAGAGATCTTCAACTATCTCAAGTCAATCGATGAATTTTAAAAAAGCTAGTAAATAATTATGAGTTGAGATGCACTGGACGCCTAACATTTTGTATTCTTATATTCTTTTATGCTTCCGACTACAGTGAAATGACTTCAAATTGTTATAGATCAGATTATATGTACTTCCAACAGATAGACAATTCTAATTGATTTAAAAAAGCTGTTACTTCTTCAATCATAACAAATTCGATTATATAATATATTTCTATAACTAACTTATTAAATAATAGATCAATTAAAAAGTTACTTAGTCAAATTGGTTACATAATCTGACTAAATACTCAATCACTCTGAGCAGTAGCTGAGCTAGTAGTGATAGATAATATAATTTTATATGAATAACGGAAATTTATGATCATTACATGATCATTTTCAACCAGAAATACAAAATACTGATGCTACAAATATAAATATCAAACATTAAACAATTACATCAAAAACAATAGCAACATAACCGTCTGACATGAATAGTATTGGTGACCAATAATAAATTCATTAATTATATTGACCTTGCATTATCATGAATTTATTAGGTATTAAATCAAATCTCATGCTAAACTTATTTTTTCATATATAGTAATGGATAATTACTGAAGGTCAAAAACATTCTCCAGTAGTAATCAATTGTAGTGTTATGTGATATATTTCGGTGTTTGTTATAGAGATTCTGTATATTACTTCTTTTGATAATGTATGGATGAAGTAGGAGGTCTCAAAACTATGGCTCACTTTGAACAGAGAAAAAATGTGTTACATTTCATCATTCGATAAATCTAATTACTCAGAAAAATCCTAATAGCTACGTGTATAATTACACTACTTTCAAATAGAGCAATTAGTTTCAATATAAAAAATATCATTCGAATGATATAAACTAAATACATAATCGTGTAGTAGTAATTACCTTAAAGTAATAGCCAAATACAATCAAAATCGAAACAAAACAACTGAATACGCTTGTTATGAATATAAACGAAAGCAAAATTTCTCTTATTTTTGTTTCGATACGTTTAATTTATACATACAATATCGTTTTTATTTTCGATTTTTTGTCCTTGATCGAAAGAGAAAAACAAGCAAGCAATTACATACAAAAGAAAATACATATCTCATTTTTTTATCATACATGTGAGGGGTGTCGTTTATCATGGCTGTAAGGAAGAAAAAGAAAATTGAGTCGTTGATCACTTTTTTACATCAACAAAATATGCGACGATTATTACGCTTAAGTGGTGAGCGCGTGACAAATCTTCAGTCATCACTAGTTTTCAATAAATATTTAAACGCTGACTACTGTTTTTTGAAGAGAAAATTAATTTTTTTATAATATCTATAAACTACAAGGGAAAAAAATGATTTAAAGCATCTGAAAATCGATGTTACAAATAAAAACAAAGAAAGCACAAGACTATTTATATTTTTATACATTATTACATTAAAGTAATATTTCAAACTTGAGTAATAAAATAAAAATATAAATTAATTGATATTATGGTTTGATGTTGATGATGTCAGAGAAATAACATTTTTTGTCTTTTGATTGTGTTTTTGCTTGTAATATCACTTATAGGTCAAAAATGATAGTATACGATATAAAATTTCCTGATTACTATTAAAACATGAATATTTTATATTTTTATTCATAATAATTTATAGAAGTTGTATTAAAAAAGAAAATTTCTGCTTTCAAAAACAGCAGTTACATATTAAATATTTACTCAAAACCAGTGATGACTGGAAATTCATACGTATCAACCTATTAAGCGTAATTATCGTCCTGTATTTCGTTGATGTGAGATAAGTAATCGATGAGTCAATTTTCTTTTTCTTATTTCCAGTCATCATAAGCAACGTGTTTTACATATATGATAAAAAATGAGATACGTATTCTTTTTGTATATGTAATTGCTAGCTCGTTTTTTCTTTCGCTCAAGGACGACGATTGAAAATAAAAACGGTATTTTATGTATGAGTTAAACGTACAGCAACAAAAATACGAAAGCATTTGCTTTCGCTTATATTCATAACACGCGTATTCGACTGTAAGATTTAGTCGTTTAAAATGTTTTCACATTGTAATTATTTTGTTTTTCAACTTGTTTCCTATTCGCCACATCTTTAATACATACATCCTATAAGAATAGAATATTTTGTTCTTACAGAATTTGATATTATTACAGAAAGTAAAGATATATGTGTGTATTATTTAATAATATTTAACTACATGTGAATAAAAAACATAAAAGCACTGAAAAAAAACTTTGAACACAATCGTATACTGTAAAGTAAAAAATAATTTATAGAGTATGATAAAAGATATTCAAGGAATGTTACATTGTATTTATCGATTGGAACATTTTCTATAAATTTGAAAATCAACTAAGTATAACGTAATGAAGTAGTATATAGATATGAAAGATGAAATCGTGGTATAATCTTTATTTGAATGCAAAAACAACTTCACACATCATACAATAGTATTAGCACTACTTTCCAACTATCTTTTTATATGCATCCATTGTTGTTCGCCATACAAGGAGATAGACAGCGTGCATGTACAAGGTCTGAACGCAAGAGACATGAAGGCTAACATAATATATACATAAAGAATAAAGGAACGAAATGTTTGTTTCAGAGACCAACATCACTATCCCCACACTAAGATTTTCTGTTCTCAAGAGAAAATGTATCCAATATAATAAATAAAGCGTTTTAATATTAATTCGAAAAAAACTATTATATTGAATTCAATTGAATGCATCATATAAAATAATAAATAATTTTAATTTTAATTTTAATAAACTCATAACCAGTGTCGATTTTCCATTTTTGGAAAATGATTTTTTTTCGAATATTAAATTAAATTTCTGCAATATCGAAAATCAAGCATTTTCGAACTATTCTAAATGATGAATTTGAAAATATTTATTAGGAATTGAAAATATGCGACGTGATGGTCTTTTCCATCAATTGTAGGAGGGTGTGAGTATTCTATTTTATTCATACCCAACCTCAACATATCTCAGCTTTAGTATATGATAAAACCTTGAGTTTGTTCGAAAAAGATCCGTCGTAAAAAGCTTTAGAAAAACTATGTAAATAAATCCCTATTAACTTGTTCTGATGGTTATTGCTATATTTGAAATAGAAAAGTTCCATGATTGTGATTACTTCTCAGCGTATTAAACTCAATAAAAATGGTTGGAAAACTTTTGTGTTTTGCATATATCTCGACTCGAGAAAACGATAACATTCTCATTTATTTCTCTAAAAAAAAGTGCTGTTGAAAGCTCGACAAAAGTTGTATGAACAAGTTCGTGATGCAGAACAAAGACACCTTCCAAATATTTTTATTGTGCTCAATACGGCAGAAAGTAGCGCGCACTATCATGTAAATTGTTCATTTGATGTACAGAGTAAACCATCAAAATAAATCAATTAAGCATTTACTTATACATCTTTTCAGAAAAAAATCAAGATTTTCTCATTCACTGAACTAGGCTGAATATGTTGCAAACACTTTGAGACATCCTGTGAAATTGTTTTTCGTCGAGTCGTCACTACTTTTGCTGTGCTGTTAATACTATGATATCAGTCAAAGAATGTTGAGATAGGGGCAAAATTGAAAAGCACTATTTGCACTTTCCTTATATACAACGTGAAAATTATATCGAGCTTTCTACAAAGTATTATAATAACAACCCGACTACTTCTGGTATGCCCTAAATACTTGAGATTCAATACAATTTCCTAATAGTATTTAACATTTTTTCTTCTGGTACAAAATTTTCTTATAACATGAATTAATTAGAAAAATGGAAAAGAAGAAGAAGTATAAATGTCAAAACTCAGTTCCATGTGTTCTATCGGATATTATCATTGAATTCACACTTTTTTAGATAGTTTTAACATATTGGGTTTAAAATTAGTACTAATTTGAGATCTGCCATGTCCTGACACAAATACATTAGTCAACATTGTTTCATAATAATTCTTCGCATGTTTCTACAAATATAATCATAATATCGGCAGATCTCATATGATAAAATAAATGAGAAAAGCTTGTCATTTGTTTTTAATCTAATTGAATCTAACATCAAACAGTTTTTATTTACTTTTTGCTTCGAGTTAAAAAGATAGCAGGCAAGATGATATAAAAGAATAATATTTATAAAAATATAATGACTAATTTTATTATTATCATTTAAAACATCAACTATGAATTTTCATTATTAAATAACGATTATCTTTTACATTCTCATAAATTTCTCTTTCTGCAAAGGTTAGTTTATTCTAATTAAATAATTTCGACGATTTTTTATATATAAAGAATAAATGAATGTTTGATGACTTGTTATTTAGAAAATAGATTATTAATACATGGAAGAGATTCAACTCCTCCGTATTTTTCCTGAGTCCTTTCTTTTTAATTAACTTGTTTTATTATTTTTATATATTAGTTCTTTCACTTAATTATGTTATTTTTATTGTTAGTTTTTTTTCTCGCTTATCATCTGTACTGTTAGGACCTAATAGTCATTAGTTAATGCGAAAATAAAAAATATAGATTATTAATCGAATATATCGAAAAATATAGAACATTGGAGTCGCTATAATGCTCGACAAGGTACAAGATGGAACTAAAGCAATTATCTATATTTTAATTTCTAACTCATTAGTATACATATTGTATCGTAGGTAAATGTTGTTATTAGCATTAACTTAGAATATAAATTAATATGTTGAAAAGGATTAGTTATCAAAAATGGATATTGTGTTTATTTATCTATTCTTTTTAGTTGTATTTATATACGATTCATTTAATTATTAGAATAACAATCATATTTAAACATGTCACTTCCTGCTGTTGTTACTTTTTGGCTCTATTTAATCTTTCTAATTCCGTCGATTATATTTTGCATCTTCTGTCTTTATTATTTTCTTACCGACAGTAGATTCCGTAAAGCTCTTTATAATCATGTCTTTGTTGTTATTCTTTTCTTTACTTTATTTTATGAATTAACTGATATAATTTGGTTTATTTATTATTCTCATACTGGTATAGTATTATCAACAACACCTATGTTTTGTCTAATATGGATCTATGTTGATTATTCTGGATATGTGACGATACTACTTTTGATGAGTTGGGCAGCAATTGAACGACATATTCTTATTTTTCATCAAAATTGTATGACAACATTAATGAAGCGTTTTCTTTTCCATTATTTACCTTTGATTGTCTTTAGTATTTATCCATTTATATTTTATTTCGTCGTGTTTTTTGTGATGCCATGTGATGTTCCATTCAATTATAAAAAACAACGATGTGGTCATGGTTTTTGTCTATTTAACAATACATTAGTTGGCATATGGGATTCTATAGCAGATTATATTGTGCCTGCATTTATTACTATTATATTGAGTATAGCTTTGATTATCCGTGTATGGTACATAAAATATCGAAATGGTCAAAGATTTCAATGGAAAAGATACAAAAAAATGACAGTTCAATTGATATCGATATCTTTTCTCTATTTTGTTCTATATTTACCATTTCTAATCTTAAATACTGCGTATACAGCTGGTTTATCAACAGATATTGGCTTTGATTTCTTTGGTACTAGTGCCGATCTTTCATACCTCATTATATTGTTTATACCCTTTATGTGTACTATTTCATCACCTGAACTTCGAAGAAAATTTCAAAAAATCACACGGACATGTCGGCGATCAAAACGTGTTGTTGATCCAGCACCATTACCAGTGTATCATTTGAGGCGTGATCGAGTAGTCAAACGAACATCTAGTATTCACTAATTCATTACTATTCTACTTGCAGTATCTCTTATTATCTATTTTTCAGATCATTTTATCATTGTTTTATCCTGTTATGTTGTATAGTTTGTGAGTTTTTTATGTTTAAAATTTGAATTCTCGTTTATTTATCAAGAATTCAATTAAATATATATCTTACTACGAGCACTATATTTAAGTCTATAAATAATGATAATAGTTTGAGGATGAGTATGGGAAAACAGTACGACTAGTTCTATAACACTATACGATTTAAAGTTTTTTTTAAAGCAAAAAATGTACATTGACTTAAAGAGAATCACTCCGTTGTTCATGTTAATGTATCAAGATCGATTAGATAAATGAGCTGATGGTTTCACTTCGATTTTTCCGTAGTTAGATGAAATAGATAAAAATCTTATGTGTTTGTAACGTACCATAATCTTTTCTTCGAAAGTCGACGTTAAACTAATAGAATTTTCCAACATGTTTTTAAAGATTATTACATATTCCTTTGCATATCACACAACTCACATAATATTTAGATTTGCTGGGAGAAATTCATTTCTAACATGTTTTTTCTTTCTAACTGTCTACACATGAATTGTTCTATATCGATATAAACTAGGGAAAAGAAAACAGTGAAAAACAAATAAGTGAAAGGATTTTCGACCTGAGAATCGAAGCGAAATGTACTTCTGTTCGTATTTTTTTTAATAATAGATGTTTGCTAAGAATTCTTTGAGTGAACATATTTTCAGATCAAACGATTAATAAATATAAAAACATAATAATAATATTATTAGTATTAGGTTTTTATATATGTATTTTAGTGTTGTTATATAAAATTGTCAACACGGGATATTCCTATGTGTGATCATGTTATATTTGATAATTAAATAAGATGTATTATGGTTTCCTTGAGACGGGCAGTAAACGGATGATCAGGTGATAATTTATCGATGTAAATCTTCAATGCGCGTTGATAGTTTTCAACGGCTTCTCCAATACGTCCAAGTGTCCGCAGACTATCACCAAGTTTTTCATATACAACACCAATGTCACGATGATCAGAAGGTAGCAGTTTCAGACGAGCTGTCAAGGCCCGTCTATACCAAACGAGTGCCCGACGAAAATATTTTTGTTCCTGATTCAAGTTACCAAATTGTAAAAGATATTCGGCTTTATTAAGATGATTTTTCGGAACAGTCACTGACATGATATCGAATGTGACATTTAAACATAGTCGAGCACATTCGAATTGCTTCACATATATAAAGACACGGCCCAGTTGCATGAAATTCCAGCCATAGTCAACATGACCTCGACGAAGGAGTTTTAATCTAATGGAAAAAGCTTTAAATAGACATGTCAGAGATAGATCATATTTTTTGATTGTCGTATAAATATTACCCAAATTGTCATAAGCCAAAGCACGTTTTGAATGATCTGGATGTAAATGAATCTGGTCACAGATAACTAACATTTTTTCAAAAGTTTGAATTGCTTGATCATATTTTCCTTGATCTTCTAAAACAGAAGCCATGTTGTTGAGCACCTTAATGAACTCATAATGTTCATAATTCGGAAATAATATTTTTCCTTGCTGCAATGCCTTTTCATATGTCTCACAAGCTTGATCAAAATTTCCTTGAAGGGTGGGGTGGGTGTGGGTGTGGGTGTATCGTCTGCTATATCATTGACATCCACACACTCACCCACCCACCCACCCACCCACACCCACTCACACCCACCCACACCCACACCCACCCACCCACACCCACTCACACACCCATCCACACCCACACCCACACCCACACCCACACCCTATATATTTAGATAGTGAATGTGAAGCTGCGTCCGATGTTATTCAGTTTCAATAATGCCACACGTAGCAAAACGAATAGTTTTGAATAATACTGAAATCTCTTGCTTATTCCTATAGTGAAGTAGAAAGTTTTTATTTGTATTCAATTGTTATTAATGCAGTCAGAAAATCTGTATGTACTATTGTAAAGAACTTTTCAAGCTGTATCTAGCACATTTGTTGGAGCGAACAGACTTTTTAAAAAAAGCGAACCCATCACTAACTTCACTTATTTAGATTTAGAACTGTTTTATTTCTTGTTTAATATTTATTTTTCAACAAAATATGATATTATAGAATGACAATAATGGTAGAAGGTATACGCGACATGTTTTTTGGTTTACGAAACATAAGCGAAGGAAAGAATAATGAAAATTTATAGACATCGATAATATAATGAGAAAAGCTTTTGGATCTCAACAAATCCATCATGAAACATATATAATCAACCAAAAAAAAACAAAGAATGTAAGTACTATATTTATTGTCAGCTCTCAGTTACTGTCATAACCACATATTAATAATGATCGACATCCATACCCACACATCTTCAATAATGTAGAAATCTTTGCACTCGATGATTACTGCTATCTGCCACGTATAAATTGAATTGGCTATCTAGTGTTACTCCATAGGGTCTATTTAATTGAGTAGCACTTGTGCCAGACGAACCAGTAATACCGGCTATTGTAGTAGCACTAGATTGACCAGCTAAAAAAAATTGAATACGATGATTTCCTGTATCAGCTACGTATATATTTCCATATCGATCTACTGCTACACCAACTGGACCATTTAGAAGTGTCGGCGAAGATCCGCTTACTCCACTACTGCCAGCAAGAAGTGTCCAACTAGTATCATCTATCACCCAACGAACTATAGTATGAGCAGCACCGTTGGCAATTATTAAACTATTCGTCGATGAATCCAGAGTAAATCCGTATGGTTTCCATAACTGAGTGCTGCCGGTCCCGTAACTATTTCCACCAGCTACTACAGTGCCTGATGAACTACCGTTAAGATATTGCATGATACGGTGGTTTTCTACATCACTGATGTACAGGGTGCCCGAGCTCGAATCACGTTGAATTATATTAGGATTATCAAACTGATAGTTTGTACTTCCAGAGAAACCTAAAGACAATTCGAATATATTGATGTTTTATGAAAAAATTCTTGGACTCTTCCATTTTGTTTCTATTTTATTTTGATAATGACATCTAGTTCGAAAATAGAATTACATTGTTTGAATACTTTATTTATTTTTGTTTATATTGCTCAAAAACGATTTCAAATAGCAGAGCTGATAAAAATATATACTAAATAATAGCTGGTAAAAATGGGATTTCATTCGATATAAAATTCATCAGTCTTGTTATTTGAAATTATAGGAATACATCCGTGAAAGAATATTGCCTTCAATGCTGTATTGAATTACTACTAATCTACTTATCGGTACATGTATAACAAGTGAATCTGTTCACTTTTCTGACCTAAATATTAAGTTTTAAATACAAACACATGTTTTCTCAGTCGTGTTCATTTTACAGGACAATTAATAAGAGAGTTAAAGCATTTGAAAAGCTTTTTGAACTATTTTTTATAATAATAGTAAGAGTGGTCGATGAAGATCCAAGCTTTAAAATAATTATTTTATGACACACTTTTCAGAAATAAGTATATCATGTTCTGAGTATACGAGAGAATAAACATTTCTCATTTCTCTTACCTGTTCCAGCGATCATCGAACCAGATGATGCACCATTTTCCCAGTACATAACTCGGTGATTAGCTTTATCTACGATGTACATGTTGTTACTTGAGTCGATTGCAAGACCGATTGGTTGATTAAGAGTAGTAGACGAAGGACCTGATGTTCCATCTGCCTGACCGGCAACGGTCACACCTACTGAGCTACCTATGATCCATTTTTGTATCCGATGGTTACCCAAGTCAGAGATATAGAGAGCATTTGATGAATCAAATATCAAAACATAAGGTTCTTTGAATTGATTTGCACCTTCTCCTTCTGTACCGCCCGCATTGCCAGCCACAGTCGCGCCATTAGAGTTCCACCGTGCTGTAAAACCTGTGACTATGAAAAAAAGAATTTAACATAAATAAACATGAAATCTTTGGTCTTAATTTTACAATATTATCAAAAAGTAATTAGAAGAAGAAATCCACATCGTCAAAAAAGAAGATATCCAATTACAATGTAGGGTTATATAGATTGTTACCTTCTCCAGAGAAGAGTTATCTATGATAAAGCAGGTATCTAAACTTACGCATGTCATATAGACTTTTTCATTTTATCTTACCGAATATGATCTATTTTCATAATTTAATGCATTATGTGCATGTAATAAAAGCTACTCTGAATAGGAGAATGGAGAATCATTTAATGCATAGTAAGGTAGAGAACAAAATTGAGAAGTGAATAAAAATACTCAGACTAATAACTATCGATTTTTGTGATCATCTCTGTACTATACCCAGCAAGAATATACAACTTCTACTCCACGTCCCACCTCACCCTTCATTTTTGTTCTCGTCTCTCACTCCGCCTATTTCTTCCAATACTTATTTGCTCAGAGAATCTGTTTCTTTTTCGAAAAGATTCGTATATTCATACACTACAAAACACCACATTTTGTCTTATTGTCGATAGTGTTGTTTATTGCTAAAGGTGCATTTGAAATAAGTTTTTGACGGGTGATTTTTCTAATTGCATGCCTCAACAATTTAATGCAAGTATCTATCAGAGTATTATCTTCTCCAGGGATGAGAATCGGTAAGAGTTTTCAAAAAGAAATAATTTACTAGATATAAATGTGATCCATACAATAGTCGATGTTTTTTGTTATCAAAGAAGTGAAATATGTCTTCGCATCATTCTTCTATACCCTAATTCACTAAGAAGCTTTTTATTATTTCACTAAAATGTAAGTTTGAGACCTACAACTACTCTCATGTAAGGAACATTAAATCAAGCACAACAGATATAAATTCTTCTTTCAATGGAATCGCAATACAAAAATAAAATCTTCGAAAAAATTAAATATTGCAACAACATAATGTAAAGCTTGTCATCTATTAGTTAACATAATAATAATATCAAGACACATTTGATTCTTTCATTGGCAAGAAATGTGAGCTATTGGTTAGGTCGCGTTTAAATCTATTCAACTATTTATTTTCTAGAAAATATTCCTAATTATTACCATTGAAAACGATGACATTTTGAAACACACCTATATTAGATTGTTGGAACAAGCAATGCGAACTAGACATGCATCAAATCCAAACCGTTTGAGTTTTTTGGATTTGGGTATGAGTTCGGTTTTACATTAGGCTGTGACCCCTAAGCGTCGAAACTTTTGATATCTGGCACACATTTAAACTCAAACCCAAACTTAAACTCAATACTCAAACTCACAAAAACCAAAACGATTTGGATTCGATTCATGTCTAGCTCCGATATGTGATCCAAACCTAAACTTTCAACAGTTTAGATTTGAGTTTGGTGTATGTTTATACTTGACAGTCAGAATGAAAAGTTTTCGATATAGTTAATAAAAATCATCATCGTCCAGAAAATTACAAAACAGCTTGTATATTACTCACTCGATGATGTAGCTGTCGTTGTGAACGTGGTTTTTGTTGTTAATGATGTTGCCATTGGCGCTGTTGTTGACGTTGATGTTGTTGATTTTGTTGATGTTCTTGTTGATGTTTTAGTTGATTCTATATTACAGAAATGAGTTTAGAATGAGACAAAACCACTGGATAAGATTTTATTCTTAATTTCTTTCGTCTTTTTCTTTTTCCTCTTCTCTGACAATATATCCACCATAAATATAAGTGCATTATAATAGAATGGCAAATCGTTATATGCTTTACATCAGAATTGTAATTCCATGATCTTTACGTTAATTATATTTCTAGTATAAGGATTTTGACAAATAAATTTGCATCTGCTGTAGCTTTAGAAATGAATGTCTACCATTTGTTGATGTCTACATCGTGTTCTCATTTGAGGACAATAAAACAATAGTAGTCAATTTTAGTTACCAAATAGGGACTTTTTTCTAAATGTAAGATAGTGTGTGGGTGTGGCTGTGAATTCTGCTATAGATTCGGTTACGATATAACTACACTACCTACATCTACACTCACATCCACATCCACACCCACACCCTGTTTGCATCGTTTCTGTCGTACCTGTTTTTGTTATTACTATTATTTCAGTGGTTGTTTCTTCTGCTGTTGATGTGTTTTCATTGTTTGTCTTTTTTGTTTTGATGATAGCAATTGGAATTGTTATAATTATAGCAAGTACAATAATAGTAAATATGATCCACATCACTTTTCTTCTTTTCAAACATTCACATCTAGAATAAGAAATCTTTTTTAATCATTGTCTACAATTCATAAGATACATACAATGTTTCTGATTCAGTCGCATTCGAACTAGCTGTTTCAGACTAAAATAATCAAAAAAGACAAATATCATATTTTATGGTTTTTCTTTTTCTCGATAAATTACATCATCATCATCATCATCATCAACTCCTATTCTGTTGTTATTGTTCATTGTTGATATCTTGCTGAAAGTTTAATACTTTTACAATCTAAAATCGACAGAAAATGTTTTTCATCTATAGATTTTCAGTCATTATGATTATAATTACAAAGAAGCTAAACTGTTTATTTACATATCTTTTCACAAAGAATCATTTGTATTTCTCGTTGATTATTGAAATCTCTATTTCAAGTAATACCTAGTATTCTTAACCGATTAATCTGGTGGTATAAAAAACAGACTTAGATATTGTTTTTCTCACTTAAAAGTTTTTCATTCCAGTTTCAACTAGAAAATTGTTAAAAATACAATTATTATGCTCTCTCATTCTCTTTCTTCAATAATCATTTCTTTTATGACGTAGATTATCATGTTAATGTAAAACATCATATATCAATAAAAACAATGAGCTCACTTCCTTTTTCAATATTGATTTTTGAGAAAAAAAACTCTTTTTAGATAGAGTTGTTATTTCTTATAAATATCAAACTGTTTGAGACAACATTTAGTTTAATTATTAGTTAATAAAACATTGAAATATCAGCGCTGTTTAAAGGATATACAACATTTCCTAACAGAGAAAAAAAGCTGATATGAAAATATTCCACTATACACAAAGATTCATCTAAATGAATTGAGAATTAGACAATATTTATGACTGAAAATGTTTCTAATTTGCATTTATTATATGCAATAATTATATCACAGAACAGATAAATGATTATGAAAGCAATATTGATTGTCTCTATATTGTTTCTTCACTTCGAAAAAATTTTCGATCTTCATTGTATGATTTGTTATACATTGATTTTTAATTGGAAGTCGATAAAGAACATTGAAGAAAACTATAACCATGATTCTAATTACAATCATAGTCATATGAAATATATAGATTCTTTGAATAATTATATTTAGATGTGACTGTTGGTCATTGTAGATATTATCTTTGTCTCACAAGATTCTCCACACTATGAGAAGTTCTTTATGTTATTTCAATCATTTGTCTCATTACAAAAACAAAATATCACATAGATTTCTTAGTTTGTGATTGAATATTTATGCTGAGAAAGTGAACATAAAGAGAACAGCAGTTATATCAATTGTTAACTCTTGTACAATATCATGAAACCTTGAAGTCCACTATTTTCTCTTTGAATAAATATGAGAATGACAATATAATAGATACATATGTTTCTCTTATCCTAATGTTAATTTATCGTCATTCTCATCTCCTCTAATACATCATCAAAATATTTTATATTTCATCTTAATCTATTAATGAAGTATATTATTAACAAAATATCTTTTTAACAATAACTTCTTAACTAATAATGTAGTTATCATAACTTAATTCTATAGACTTTCAAATGAATGAATGAAAAATAATAAAATAGATTTTTTTCTCTCAGGAAACTTTGTATTTCCTTCAAAAAGTGCTCATTTTCAATGTTTTTTTTTCTATAAAAATAATTATATTAACTGTTATTTGAACTAGTTCACTTTCACATGCTACCTTGTCGAGTTTGATATTTACAACAGATATATAAGCATTTTATTCAGAACTGATCTAAAACAAGAAAGTGCTGATGGTATCATTTTCATCAACATGTGATGTTTTTATCATAAATATTTTACATCTAAAGACGATTATTAATTCATTATTATCTTTATTTTAAATGAAGCAAATACATAAAAATAAAGTGAAAGATATCATTTGGAAATCTATGTTTCCTGATACTTAATAATTTAAATAATGTCAAATATAGTTGATGATTCTACTAAATATAATGAGAAAACTATAAAATAAATAGAAGAATGACAAGAGTTTTATTTGATTGCTGATGATTGATACTATTTGAAAGAGATGATTTTCTCATTTATTTTATTCTATAGAAATATTTCTATTTTATTGTTGATCATCTGATAAAAAATGTTGCAATTAATTTGTAAAATTGATTCATTTTTTGTTGTTGATATCTGTATAATAAAAGATATTCTTTTTATATCTCTTCATTATCTCATATTGATATTTGTCTTCTATTAAATGAAATAAAAATAAGTTGTTTCTTTTTTAGTTACGTTCTCCAGTCATTAACTATGGTAATTGATTAAAAAAAATAGAAAAACTCTTCTGTATGTTACTGAAAACCGAACAAGAGAAAAACAAAGATTTTATTTTTTTTCTCTATTCGCCTACCTGATGATGTCAATGGGAACTTTCTTTTTTTTTGAAATATTTGCAGCAAATACAACATTTGCATTTATTAATAAAGAAAAACAATGAATCCATTTCCTTTTTCAAAACTAATATGAAATATTAGTTATTATCTGATGTAAATATAAAAAAATGTTCATGATATTGAAATTTTGTAGGAAGGATGTAAAAACAAAGTGTTCCAAATAAAATTTAATGTTATTCTTGTTAATAATACATCGAAAATCATACCTTTACGAAGGAAATGCAATGCTTCCTGAAGAATAAAATATATTGACACTATCTGATATCTAAAATATATTGCACAATTGATTTTATTCTTATTTCATACATTAGACATATGATGGAAAAAGTGCAATTCCTGATCTTCAGAATAAATCTTCGTCAAATGCTATTCAATAATATGAATATCACCGAAACACATCAAATGTATAAGAAACGAATACATAAACAAAAAAAAATAGAATTATACAGAATAATGTCACATTCATATTCAACAAAATCAACTGAAGTCATAACTTTATTATCATTTTGAAACTGTTCATCATAACGAATAATTATGATCAAACTAAGATATAAATTATTTCTTTTATACATTTTAGAAATAGGAAAGGCGGTGTAGAGAAGAAAAATGAAACAATGAGTTAGAAGTGATTGACAAATAATATATGAAAAATATTCTATATTACCATGTACAAGAAAACAAAGAAGAAAACATTATACTGAGACTGACATATTGTGAGTAGATAATCGTAGAATCGTGAATACTTCCTTAAAAACAACGACATCTTCTACTATTCAGTTAAAATTCAACTAACAAAGTTAAAATTGTTTATTATGACGAAGAATTAAAGTGTTGAAAAAGAGTTAATATATTCTATGAAATCCAAATAAATATTTAGTGGTTTATTTTTCTCTAAAGAAAACTTTGTATAATCTAAAAGTAAATTGAACATTAAGGTGTGGGTGTGGGTATGGGTGAGCCTTAATTTCATTTACTCTCTATCTCACCCACACCCTCAAGATGAAATCGATCAATTTTACCTTTGTTATATTATTCATATTCGTTTTGAAAATAAAACTAAAAGATGTAACTACGAATATTACAAGTCAAATAATGATGATAAGAATCGACTAAAACATATTTTTTCGGGATTATCTTCATCAAAACTAAATCTTGTTTTCGGGATCTCTAGGCTTTTTGATCTGGTGCAGACTCCAAATTAAATTCTTGCGTTTAAACTGAGAACTCCAGATTTACCATTTCTGAGATCATTGTCACCCAAAATAAGACATTTTGTGTGTGTATGTCTAGAAACTAGGAAAAAAAGACAAAGAACGCGCACAGCGTTAAAAATCTTCTTTGCTCAGCACATCGAGTTTTGGGAAATTTCTACTCTCTATTGTATCGATGACTGTAAATTATTTCTGGATCATAGCTCATTACTAAAAGTTGACAGAAATCGAAAATAAATTATACGAAGAAGAAAACAACTATTAGGGTTTGGGTGTGGATATTAATGAGAAGAATACAAACAGCCACAGCTACACCCACACCATATGAATGGAAACGTTTTAGAATTAAAGTTGTTGGAAAATATGAAAATGATATATGGCTTGGATCAAATAATAGTTGTGATGGTTGACCAGTTTCATATCATGGAACAAAACATGATGCAGCAAAACCTATTGCACAAACTGGTTATGATCTAACAAAAATAAGCGTTTTCTTTATGGACGAGATATCTCCTTAACGCATGATATTAATATAGCACAACGTTATGCTTATACTTTTACTTATAACGAAGAACAACATTATGTTCTGCTTCAGAATCTAGTTAATCCAAAGCCTTTGATAACTATTGATGGTAATAAAACTGGAGTCGAAAATCATTGGATATCACTTGGTGCTGATGATATTAGACCCTACGGATATTGTATAATGAAAAAATCGGAATATATTATAGGATATTTCATATCGTTTTCATATTATTATATTTTTAGTTGACACACGTAATGATTGAAAAGACTGAAATAAAATATCTTAACTTGCAGATTTTTGATAATAATATAAATGACCGTTGTATTAAGTATTTCATAGGAATTAAATTTCAACGTGTTTCAAATAAGCATTTAAATAATCGATCTAATTATATTTAAATTAATACAATAATGTGAATACTATTTATAGTTAGATTATTTTTTGCCAATTATACGATCAACTTGAATCAACAAATATTTTATTTGTTATAGGTTATTCTTCTTTGAAAAATCTTTTCTATTATTTATTTAAAATCAAGATCTAATAGAATATTGATAAGATGATTTTTCATTCAAATTGTTGGAGTAATTCAATTACGGAGATCATAAACTTCTACGATATATAATTATGTTAGTAGATCATATTTCCATTTTTTTGCTTGAAATTGATATTTTTTCTTGAGAGACGACGCGAACGTAGCTTTTAAGGAGAAAAAAAAAATAAAAGAAAATAATAAATCGAAAGAAGTTTATAAATCATTGCTGTCTGATTGATTAAATTAAGAAATATTGTCGATGTATTGTTTATTTCATATGAATATTAACAAAATTTCAATATTTAATATTACTGAAAAATAAAATTGTGTTTGATGATCTTTTTGAGTAAGGATTTATGTTCATAACTAAAATACATGAAGGTATCAAATCATAACTTTCCGTGTTTATTTTTATTCGACAATATTTCAAAAAACTTGTTTTTGAGCATTAGTTTTTCGATGATGTTTTCACTTAATGCGATTCATTGAGAAATAAATACATATATATAACAAATTGATCCAATCGATAATTTAGTCTTCTTTTCATTTTGTTATCACGCATAACAAATTTATTTTTGGTAATTCTCATAATAATAAATTTAAATAATTTGAGTCAGTTATAAAACTATTTCTACTACACTTTTAGACTATGAGTTATGCATATTAAGAGTTTTTATATAAAAAATCTAAACAAAAAAATTTATTCAGGATGTGTGTGTGGAACAAAGGATTAGATTAAAAACTTATTCATAAAGTCTGGACTATCCTTTTTCTTTTTTCTGTAGACTTTTGTAATGGATATGATCAGATCATTTCACAGTTTACTGTCAAAATATATGTTTCATTATTTCGAAGAATTAATTAAGAAGCATGATTTTGTATCGTATGTAGACAAACGAAGAAGTCTCCGATATTTAAGTCAATAGTATAAATTTTCTTCTTTCGTCGTCTCCATCGATCTTCATTTATCAGTATTTATATATTTTTGTTACTCTAGATCAAATTTAACGTTCAGTAAACTGAAAGTAACACGAAACTGTGTTTCTATTTATTGCCGTGTCTGTAATGAATACTTACTTATTCATTTCTTTTATTTTTTTTTGTGAAATCTGATTTTGAAAATATCATACATTGCAGCGCTTGTCATGACGTTAACGAAATTATTTAGATAGGATATCTTCCACTAAAAAAATCAGAACCCTGATACATGAAATATAATTAAAACTGTTACTTAATATCTTTTTAAATAAAAGAGAAATGGAAAAAGAGAGAAAGACTAGTTATTAGTATAGCATTTGTGTTTTCTTAATATTCGAGCACACTACAATATTTTACTTTCATTCTAAAATCTCATTGAAACAATGGTAGATAATAAAAAACGAGTGTTTTGGCATTTCACATTCAAAGACATATTAACTATTTTATGTTCAGCAGCTATACCCATAGCTCTTGCTATTTATACTGCAATTGGATCTGAACAACAAAAACAACAAGATGAGAAAAAACAAAATTTTAATTTGGAACAATCAAGAGAATTAAGACAACAAACACTTTATGATGAATTTATAAATAATATTTTTAAATTGGATAATTATGGTTATCTGAAGGAGAAAAAAAATCCATGGGCATTTGCCAATGCATATTATCGTGCTGCTGATCGTCAATGGGATACAATACGTAAAGCAGATGTTATACAATTTCTAAAAGAGAAACAATTAATTGGCAGAAATAATTGTACTAATGGATGTAAGACAACAAATTTAGTTGATATAATCCGTTTGAATGAGTTAAATTTGGATAATATACGTCTAGCAAGTCAAACTGGTGTATTAAATAAGTTGAATTTACAATGCATTTCTTTTGATCAAGTATCAATGTCAAATGCAATATTTTCATTTGCAAGTTTAAATGGCGCATCATTTGATGGAGGACGATTAGATAAGGTGAAATTTGATAGTTCATCTTTACTTTGTGCTAGTTTTAATGGTGTAAATCTGTCGGAAGCAGATTTTGGAAACTCTAATCTGACAGGTGCGCAGTTTTCAAACAGTGACATGTCAGGAGCTAAACTAACGGAAGATCAAATAAAACAGGCATCTTTTCATAATGTAACTATGCCAAACGGAAAGAAGAGTAAAGCTACACCCTCAACGACAATAAAAGAACCTATAACCCAAACAACAACAATAATAAAGACGAAAAAGGCGAAGACAGCATCACCATCATCAACAACAACAACAACAACAACAACAACAACAACTTCATCATCAACATCATCAACAACAACCACTGGACTATGCATACAGGGTAGGAAAGAATACTAATTTCAAAAGAAACCACATGAGATGATTATTTTAGTGAAAACATTTTACAAATTTAGGTGATAAATAATGATGCTAGAATTAATATATCCATAACGATATGAACTACAGGAGATTATAAAACTATATACTCTAAAATATGATGCTATCAGGAATTTTTCAGAATTTCTGATTCTGTTACTATTTGTAACATTTTTAGGGTGTTTGAATTTTTGAAGTTCGTAAAAAGATAGCTACCATAGTATGCACTATAATGATTTTCAAAATGAATTAAAAGTTTTCAAGTCTGATGAAACTTCGAAACTTTTCATCATATCAAGACTACAAAGCCTACCCAAACGGTTTTTTAATCTTAGGAAACCTGCTGATAACTCAATTGTAGATTATATTTTTGCTATAATCACTACTTCTAGAAGAACGACTGATTACAGCAACAACAGATGCAATATCTATGAAACTGTACAGCATTATGTTACATATCTACATGAACCTAAACATGAGAATTAGACATTCATCAAACTCGGAATCGAGAGTGTGTATGTAGTTTTCCCATATTTATCGCTGATGTAAATTTTAATGAAACTCCACTAGTGTATATTATTTAGTGAAAAACCAAAAGCGAAAGTCTTCAATAGTATAAAACTCGTTAATTCATTTAAATTGTAAAATAGATTTTCGTAACTGAAAATTCCAAAGTATAAAATACTTGTTAATATTGTTTATCATTTTGAAATAGTCACGTACCCGTATGATGCTCATAGTTACTGGGCACTGGAAAATAATGTTGCTGATAGCATATCAAATCTTAGTGGCACAGCTGTCAATGCACCTATTTATACGAATAGTGGCGTCAACGGTGGATACAATTTGAGACTTATCAGTAGTAGTAATCAATACATCACAATACCAACCTATCAAAGTTTTGTTTCTACCAGTTTTACAGTAGAAATGTGGATCTATCCTACTTCATTAAACAGTGGTACTTCTTATGGATTGTTCAGTCAATATGAATCATTGACTCAAGATCACAATTTATACCTTATATTATCTGGTGAAAATTTGAAGATGGGTTTTTGGGATGATGATGTCACAAGTGAAACTGCATTGTTGATAAATACTTGCTATCACGTAGCGTTTGTTTATGATAATTCATCTCAGACACAAATCATTTATTTAAACGGAGTTCAAGATACTAATCGTAGCTCAGCTGGACCATATTTAGGCGCAAGTGGTGCTATTCATATTGGAAACTATTATGATGGTAGCAATCACACATTCGACGGGTAAAGAAAAACTATTGGATCATTAGTTTTGTTCGTTTGTTTGAGTTTAAAACACCCAGTGTTAGAAGTATTGTTTATTGTATCTTCGATATTATTAATTAAGTTATCAAAAATCCTCACAAATTATTATGTACTCATATAAATTTCATCTTTATCCTTACTTTTTCGGTTCAATTTTTTTAGAGGGTCTAAGACTTGAATAGAAACGTACAGTTACTGATTTATTTTCTGATTCTATATTGTTCTTATGTGTTTAGTGCTATTGATGAAGTTACACTTTACATGAACGCTAGAAGCGCAAGTGATATTCTTTCGGACGCTACTTTAAGTACATGGCATTCATTTGATTGTGGAATATCTTATGATTCAGGTCCAAATAGAATCAAAGGAACAGCCTATAATGTTATATTAGCATCTGGTAGAGTTGGTCAAGGATTAAGCTATACTTCGTCGTCATCTTATTATCAGGTATGTAATAGACTTAGTTGAACTGTTCATAATTTATAGATTATAAAAAAAAAGAAAGTTGAATATATGACAATGCAATTATTCTCTGTAGTAGTTTTAGATAGGATAGAGTAACATAGATATATATATATATATATATATGCAAAAAAACATTTTTGTTTCTTTCAAAACATTTCAAATAGAAAAACATGTTAGCTCGACATTTCTCAAAAACAAAATATTCACTTGAAGTTTTGTTAAAAATTCTCCAAAACTTTCTTATATCAAACCCAGCTGCTCAATATTCATTGAAAAGATATGTCTGAAAACGATTTGAAAATATTCTAAAAGAATACCGAAACTATTGAATATGTTCTATTTAGTTGTATGGATTTCCTCTTCTTGGAACTTCAAATCATCCATACTCGATATCTCTATGGATTCAACGAACATCAACAGGTGCAGGAACTGTTGTTTATGTTTCGTCACAAACAGGTGGGGGAGGATGGTGTATTGATTTCATGGGATTTTCTTCGAGTGGACAAATAATAGGTGCCAGTTACGACGGTGTCATTAGAGATGTAGTAGGTCCTATTCTGTCGACCAACGTTTGGGTACATGTCGCTACTACTTTTTCGACTACAAATGGTGTACGATTGTATGTCAATGGAAGTTTAATTGGATCTACAGGTGCAATCATATATGCAGCTTCAGGAACATTAAACACGGTGACATTAGGTAATCCACTGAGAACTGGATGCGTTAAGAAGTCAATTGCGCCGGGCACTTTTTATGGCTATTTAGATGAATTTCGACTTTATTCACGAGAATTGACTGCTGCAGATGTTACTGCGCTTGCTAATCCTTGATAAAATTATATAATCAATCAATTTTTTATTCTTAATAATATGTTAGACATTTACAGAATCCTCAAGCTTTACGGATTTATTCGTTTTTGACTAAGAAGTGTTGTAATTCATTTTTTTGTGCTTTTTGATGGTGTGTATTGTAATACTGATCTCACCTTTCATCCACTTACAGCTTTATTTCATATTCTCAAATGTCTGCTATACCATTGAAATCGATCAATTTTACCTTTGTTATATTATTCATATTCGTTTTGAAAATAAAAATAAAGGTTATAACCAACAATATCACAAATCAAATAATGATGATAAGAATTATCTAAAACATATTTTTTCGGGATTATCTTCATCAAAACTAAATCTTGTTTTCGGGATCTCTAGGCTTTTTGATCTGGTGCAGACTCCAAATTAAATTCTTGCGTTTAAACTGAGAACTCCAGATTTACCATTTCTGAGATCATTGTCACCCAAAATAAGACATTTTGTGTGTGTATGTCTAGAAACTAGGAAAAAAAGACAAAGAACGCGCACAGCGTTAAAAATCTTCTTTCCTCAGCACATCGAGTTTTGGGAAATTTCTACTCTCTATTGTATCGATGACTGTAAATTATTTCTGAATCATAGCTCATTAGTAAAAGTTGACAGAAATCGAAAACAACTATCATAAAGCCACTTATATATAGGCACATTAAACTATTCTTTCATGATTTTCTTTTGTAAGTAGAATAATATATGTACTGTTTAATATTAGGAAAAAACATGAAATTAAAGTCAAAACTCGATTGATAATGATATTTTATTAACATTATAGTTTTAACACATCTGTATTCATTCGAAACGTGTGTTTTATACATAAATAATACACCTACTATATCAAAGAACAACGAATAAAAAAACAAAGGATTGGTAATGTGTATTGTTTGAGTATCGTGATAAAGTTTGCGCACATGATTATTTGTCGATTAACCAATATTAAAAAGGTATGAAAAAAAAATATGAATACTTTTTGTCGAGTTTCTTTTTATAAATATAGAATGAAATAAGCTAAAGAGTTTTTACTATTGTGTATTCTATAAATTTGCTAATGAAGGATATATAATAACGATGTTTTAAATTATATTCATTAACCATTTTTAGCATATTTGAATAACAGTTTTCAATTCCTAATAACTGTTGTAACAGAAAATAATGGATTAAACTATACCAAAAGGCACCATATGAGAAACTCTATAATTAACAATAAAACTTTTATATTAAGTTCTTACTTTTTGTTTTTCTCATGAATAGAATATCATACGTCATTAAATTATGAGTATTAAAGAACAACTTGGATTTAATTTTCGTGTGAATAATGTTATAGCAAGCTTAAAATGAATAGAACGATGAGATCACATTTAGAAATATTTTCAACGCAACGTGATCTATTTAAATACTTCACTTTTCCGTTTACACTTTTTATTTCTGTTGAAACTTTCGAAAACCAATGATATCGAGCAAGAGTCCATCATATACCAAATATTAGTATTTGAAATGTCGCGTAGAAATTTGACTCTTGAAAATTTTGCCTACTTACATAACAAACAATAAAACTATACAATAAGCTGTGCTTTCCAAATTATAGATATTTTCTTTTTCATAGAACCTACAAATATAAAAGATGATTATTTAATTTATGTTGACAAAAGTAGTTTAGTAGCATGTTATTTGATACTAAATATATTGTGTGTATGCAATTAAAATCTTTCTCGTGCCACTTTACCAACAAATGAAGAAAAAAAATATTTTTTGCAACTTTCACAAGTAAATGAAAAGAAAGACTGACAGTGCATATGTCATTCAAGAGCAAATACGAGTATATTTGTCGTATTTATAAACTAATATGTGTTTTTTTTTATAGGTGCACCAGACTTTGCAGCGATAAACATCGAAAGAGTTTTACTTTGACACTTCCAAAATGACGTCAAAAATGTATGCAATCCAAGCACCTGCTTTCGATGCAGCTGTCACATATCAACCACCTACAACAAACTCTACATCCGATCACCCATCTATACACACGGTGAACCTCGAGGCAGCATGTGAAGCCAAGAAAAAAATCGTTCATAATTTACCTACAAAGTGTGAACATTGCGATACTCCATTCAATGCACCTAATTGTATCGTGGAACTAGTAAAAACTGGTGATGTAATGGCTTATTGTCGTGGTCAAGGTGGTTGTGGTAGATCACAAGTTCTCTTTGTTGGAGTAAAAACTTCCATTCCACGTTATCGGAAAGTATGTGTTTTCAAACACAATATATCATGTTATGAACCAAACGAAGCTATTGGCCTTCCATCAAATATTTATGCTTTACATGGCATTACACCTCATGAAACTATTTGTGACACGTGTGGCCAGCGATATGACACTCATCCGACAGGCTATGATCATAACGGATGGCTTGAGGATGGATTTGATCAGTTAGAACTTCCTGCTGACTGGCCAATGTTTCGAGATGGCAAGTTTATTCTCTAAGAGAAACATTCATTTATATCTATAGTACACATCTTTTTCTTCAATAAATGATGATCAAAAGATAAAGAAATGAATACTCATCTATTACATCTTGATCATCAGTGCACACTATTTCTTCTTTCTTTCTGCAGAAAAAAAGAATGCAATGATTTTATCGTATAAGTTAGTCTAAACTTATTTTCCATCCTTTGTTTAAAACGTCAATAAAAGAACGAATATATTAACTTGGTATGATCGTATTAAGACGACTTTCGAGAACCATCACAAAATAGATGACTGATGATCTGAAAATAAAAAAACATGCTCCCTGAGGATAGTGATATATATGAACGTATGAATATGAGCGAGAGACTATGCAAAAAAACTGTTTCTAACCAACATTAATTTATTTTACTTGACCCGTAAAATTCTAGTGACGTATTAAAATGCAGTCATTTCATAAAAATATCATGATTTCAATATACTTGTGTATCTTGAGAATGTGGACGAGAAAGCAAGATGATACCTTTACTCAGATCAATCGACCCACCCGCGGGCGAATGAATTTCTGGTAAAAATGTTTTAAAAAACTTCGATTTTGTTTCTTAATTACTCTTTATTGGTCATAAAAATAGATTGTGTCATGCAATATGCATTTTTCAACTGGAAGAGCATTGGTTGTGATGATTGAAAATTTTAAATACAAAAATCCATTTTAATAATTAGTTAAAAAAACTGTATAATTATCGTAGAAAATACATTGATGTACATTTAGCCAAAAAAAGAAGCTCAAATGTATGGAACGAAAAATAAATAAATAAAATTAAAGTTAATTGATTTGAATTTATTTCATCTGTCTAATAAATCGAACAATACGTCGTTGATTTTGAAGTAAATGATCTGTTTTATTTGATAATAAAATTTGTTTATTTCGACGTTGTTTTTGTCGTTGAGAATAAATAGGTGGAAGAGGTTTATAAGGATTTTGAATATTCTGAGATGCAGATATCGGTCGAGCGGTTAAATCAGCAATAGCACCATCATCAGGAAGACTATTATTATAAGCTGTTGGTTCTGACTGAGTAAAAGGATGCATAGTGGGATGTCGTTGATTTTGAGAATATGGAATAGGTGCAGTTACACGTTTTTCAATTTCTTCAAAAGCTATAGGTGGAGAATGTAGTGATCGAGATACATTTCCATTAAGAACACCTATTCAAAATAAAATATATACTTAAATATACACAAGATTTTTTCTTTCTAACCGTTTTTCTTCAATGCAAGTAGTTGTTGACGAGCTGCAATTAATGCATCTTTCAGCTGTTCACGTTCTGTACATTCTCTATGAACAGTTTCTTGTAAAGTCATCATCTAAATCAAGATTTGCGCATATCAATTTTTACTAAAAACGTGTATTGTTAAATGTCACACAAGAAAATTAAGAACTTTCCTGAATAGATTTTTTAAGTCTTAATTAATTCAAATATTTTCTTAAAACTAACTTTATCTCTGAATAATCGAGATTTGAACAGACATGTTAAGTGTAAAGCGTTTTTTTTTCAACACACATTAATTCTATATAAATACTTCTTCTTGTGCTTGTTTTATATCTTTTTTTAATTCATTTATTGTTGATTGTGCTTGAAATAGATTCGTTTCTTTATTCAATAAATCTTCTTTTAATTTTAAATTATTCACATGATCTTTATCCATTGATTCTTGTTTTTCTATATTAAAATGGAATTTATATAAATTTTTAAAAAACCGAAATTCTATTCTTACTAATTTGTTCATGTAATTCTTTTACAAGATCTCTTAATTTATCTAATTCTTTTTGTAAGTTATCTTTTTCTTTTTCAAGTTGTTCAATTTGTTTGGTATAATAACGTCGGTGTTCCATAGTGACTTTTTCAGTTGATATTAATTCATGACGTAATTGTTCGTTTGAAGAACCCCGTTCATGTTCATATTTACGTAAAAGTCCATCATATTTTTGTTTTTCAATATTTAATTCCTAAAAAAATAAATAGATTGTATTTATATGAAATAAAGAAGGATGTACGGTAACAAAATTTTCTTTTAGACGACGTTCAAATTCATTCATTTGTGTACGATGTTGTTCACGTTCACGTTTTAATTCTAATTGAAGACGATCAGGCCATTGTTCAGCTTCGCGTAATTTATTTGAATAATTATCATGAAGTTTTTTTATTTGTATATCCTGTGTAATATGTAATGTTTCTTGTTGTTTAGTTAATTCAACATTTTCATTATGTAGACGTTGAAGTTCAGAACGATTTTTTTTTAATTCTACTGTTTTATGCGAAAAAAAATTATATTTGAAGAAAATCTTTTTGTTTTTTTTCTTACAAGTATCTTTTTCTCGTAGAGGAACAAGTTCACGATAGATTTCATCAAGATCAGTATATTTTCGTAAGAGTTTTTCATATTCATCACGTGTACGATCTAAAATAGCTTGACGTGATCGATTCGTTTCATCGATTTTTCGTCGAGTATTTGATTCATTTATTTGAAATTCTGTTTTCATTGAATTTAATTGTTCATATTCGGTTGTTAATTGAAGAAGTTTTGAACGCAGATTTTCTAATTCTGTATCATTTTCTTTTTGGAAAAGAAATAAGGATAAAAATTTAATTTTAACGAAAAGAAAAATAATACTGACTTACTTAATCGAAGTTCTTTTTCTATTGTAAGTTGTTGTCGATATTGATCAATATCTTTTTGTGCGCCATTTTTATCGGATAATTGTTGTTCTAATTCATGAGAATATTGTTTACTTTGCTGCAATTCATTTTGTAATTGTGTTTGAGTTTGTTCATATTGTAAAATTTGTTTATGTAAACGAGATAATTCATCCTGATGAATTTTTATTTCGTTATGAGCAGATTCGAGATCAATTTGTGTTCTAAGAAAATAAAATAGATAATCTTGAAAATTAATGAAGAAAAAATATTTATACATTGAATGAGATTCTTTGGAATCAGATTGAATTTGTTGATATTTTATTTGAAGATCATGGAGAGATTGATTTGTTTCTCTAAAAAAGGATGAGATACATTTATTTATCGTATAAATCACATTGAAAAGAAACTTGTATTTCATTAGAAAACTTGACTATTGTAGATAATTTCGGTTTACTGTCCCTTCGCTAATACGACTTTCGTGAATTGCCGAAAATCTTATTAGCAAAATTCAGGAATCAGTGGCGGATTTAGGAAGGCGATCGCCCCCGCCCCCCTTCAGAAAATTTTTTCGATTTTTTACAGCAAAAATAGGTTCACACTACCTCCATTGGACTTAGAAAATAGTTTTTAGCCAAAATCGCCCTCCCCCCAGATATCGCTCCTTCCTACTAAAAAATCGGCCTCCCTCCCTTCCAAAATCCTAGATCCATCGTTGTAGACTTAGCGAATATGAAAGATGTTTTTCTTCATACTTGAGTTGCTGTTTATATTGTTCCGTTTCAGTTTGTTGATCATTTATTTGTTTTGTAAATTTAGTCATGCTTGTTTGCAATTCTATGTAATAGATAATCCAAGAAACATAGCAGTAATTAAATTCTGCTACCTTTTTGTAATGTATTTTCAGTAGTTTGTAGATATGTTTTCCAATTTTGAGTATCTTTTGAATAGAGATCTTGTAAAAGTAAATATTCTTTTCGAATATTTTGTATTTGATTATGTGTAACTCGAAGATTAGATGAATATTTAGAAATAGAAGATCTTAATAAATAAATAAATAAAATAATTCTATAAAACTCTAATAAAAATATTTACTTAGTTTTTTTATGAGCATTTTCTGATTCTTCTAATTGATCTTGTAATAATTGAAGTTTTCTTGACATTTCATTGAGTCTATATAAATAAAATTTAAATTTGAATAAACTTCTACTTTATTTATCTACTTATGAGTATTTATAGCATTTATTGATTCAAGATCAGAAATACGTGTCTGTTCATTTTGTGATGTTTGTTTTAAATTCGTTTCACGTGATTTTTTACCAGTATGATAAGCTAATTCTGTTTCAAGTTTTTGACATTTGGCTTCAAGTGTTTTTATTTCATTATGAATCAAATATGAAACACCACAAAATTTGCAAAGAGTATCTTGTTCAGACATATCTGTAATATCATTAGATAAAGGAAATTGTGGTGTATATCGTTCAAAATGTTCTTCTTTTGGCATGTCTACAAACAAGAATAAGATAAATTTACAATCTTTATGATCGTTAAATTAATTTTTATCTATCAACAACAACATAAACAATTTTTTTTTCAAATACAACATAAAATAGATGTTTATTATTGCCAAAATGGCGCAGTTTGCGGACGTTCCATACGACGATTTGTCGGTGGACATTGCGAAAGTGTTTTTCTCATTGAATCACCTTGACCTTTAGCGAAATTATCAACACCATCAAATTTTACTTTTGGTGCTGTTCGAGCTGATTGTTGTAATTTACCATACCGATGAAAAAGTTCATTGACATGATGTCCTTGACCCATATCGTAATTTAAATGAGCTTGTTCTCCTTTAAGATTTAGTTCTGAAGTTGGTACATGACGTTTAATACCATGTTCAAGTAATTGAGAATCTCCTCGACCCTTTTCACGATTCATTTGTGCAGCTAGTCCTTTAACATGAGGAGGTACTGATCTTGGTGTAGCAGATGAACGACCATAATTATTTAATATAGGACCCATCTGACCTTCTTGATGTAAATAATAAAGATTTGTTGCTACCTAAACATAAGATTGATAATAAATTTGAAATACATAACTAGATTTGTTTTTTAAATGAAATTTACTTCTCCTTGTATATGAGGCGCTGGTTGTCTTGGTAAGGGTAATTTTCCATAATTTTCTTGTAATGTTTTTACTTGTGAATTATGGTTTTTCTCATAATTAGCTTGACCTTCTCGTTTTACACGCATACCATGATGAGAATCAGGTGGTTGAAGATCTCCATAGATAAGATTTGGTGTTGAACAACGACTTTTATTATAATTTCGTAAAGCCTCAGATCCTAATACTTTTGGTTGCACTAAATTTGACTGTTGATTATCTGATACTGTTGTTGCTGTTGTTGACATTCGTCTACCTTCAATAGCCCAATCACCAATATTTAAACTTCCACGATTTTTAACATAATTTTTAACACCTTCATGATTAACACGAAATGGTGGAGCTTCTTCATAATTTGGTAATGTTGATGTAAATGTTCTTGGATATGAAGGAAGAATCCAATTAGCTGATTCAGAAGATAGAGTTGTAGTCATATTGCAATAAAAAGATCTACTTATGCTTGTAAATGAAACATAATGAATATTTTACGTATGTTTGTTGCTAAGCAATGTCCAATATGAATGAATAAATTTAGATTTAATTTTTTTTTAATTTTTTATTATTAGAAATTCAAATAATGATCCTAATCATATCTAAATTAGAGTTTACAGTTGTCAATTCGAGATTAAAGATGAAACTCTATCGTTTGATTTTCTATTGGTTGATATTTTTATATATAAATTAGTCATAGAATTCAACAAGTAGGTCGGTCGATGACTGAACTTTGATAATTGAGTTTACACGTTTCTTATCATAATATTGTTTGAAAACTTATGAGTCAAAGGATAAAGGTCAATTCATCATTCACTTGAAACACCACGATCTCTCTACGGATTGGTTTATTAGTTGAAAATGAGTTTTTTTGACGTGTAAATGTATACGTGTTCAAGTCAAATTTTCGCTGTATAAAAGGAGAACATATAGAAAAGTTTATTTAAATATATCAAGTAAGTATAGCATTCGATCTTATCCAGTTGCTTTTATTTGAAAAATCTCATAGAATATCATTTTTATGTAATCAATTCTTTCTTCTTCATCGGTTTTTTTCTAAACATCATTATTTATTCAAGTATATCTCTTTTGACTGTCCATAATCTGTAAAAGATGATTATATCATAAAACTGGACATAACAGAGAAAATAACTAATAGATTTTTCTTTTTTTTTTCTTCTTTCTGCATGTATTCTTCTCCTTTGTATTCTTCTTCTTCTTTTCATCTAATCTATATATGTACGCTTCGACTAATACTAGCTAATAGTAAAAACATCGACATGTCGGTTTGCGAACAAAATGCCGATATGAGAGAGGGGGAAAAACGAGAAAGAGAGGTAAGAAAATACTCCGTCCGCCGTGATAAGATGGTAGGTTATTCTCGTACGAATTATTTTTCTTCTCTCTTACTATCGAATTCTAGTCGAGTTAGGTTCAATAAAATTTTCTTAGAATATCATTTTCTAATTTTTCTAGATAACGTTATATCCATCGAATATTTCATATAATGGAATCTCAGAGTTATGATGTTGATTCAACAACAGTTGGATGGAATAAAAGTCCAGTAATGGATCATTCATCACGATTTGATCCTAATGAAACTCCAACAGTTAATTCAACAAATCCAAATTATCATCCATCATCATCAACAACAACACATAATTCAGTTACTGAAACAGCTGCTAACAAGGCCACAGCAGAATTAAAAAAAGGTCAACATCATGCAGAAGATATTATTACAAAGTCAAAAAGACTTATGAAACAACAATGTAAGTTAAGCAATTTTATTTCTTTTAAAATATTCATTAAAAAAAATAATTAGTCAGTATCAATTAATAACAAAATTTTGCTATTATCTTTCTTATTGGTGAATATTAATATGTATAAAATCTTTTTCAATTAGACGAGAAAAAAAAATCTTAGTATATACATATTTTCTTTTATTTCATAGCAAGATCTAAAGTCCTAAATAAATGCGTGCTACATATCGTGATTTTTGTGTGATAATTTCTTTATTATCAACATACGCTATTACTTGTAGGATAAGTACAACCAAGGAGAAGAAGAAGAAGAAGAAGAAGGAAAAAGAACAAGCACTTTATGAAAATATATAGGAAATAGACAGGAAAACCACACACATATATATATATCCATCGATATGTATGACATATGAGTATATGGATGTCTTATTTCTTTGACCGAGAGAAAAGAAAGAAAAAAAGAATGGATAAAAACTCACGAGATCATATTTACATGTTTTTCTTCTTTTTTGCCCGATATAAACAAAATATTATTTTATTTTTAGGGGAAGAAACTCGTCATTCAGTTATTCATTTACAAAAAAGAATGAAAGAAATGGTACCAAAAGAAGGTATAAATATCTTAATTAATATTCTTCATTTACAAAAATATATAATTATTCTTATTAATTCTAGCAAGTAATCTTATTTATTGGCAAAATCCTATTCAATCGGGCATTGTCTTTGGTGTTTTATTATCTATAATTATAACATTTATGTTTTTATCATCATTGGCTGCCATATCATTTTGGTTACTTGCACTTCTTGTCGTTGTTGGTCTTTATAAATTGTATAATTATGTCATGGCAACATTTGTTGGTCGAGTTCAAGATGATATTTTCGAGTAAGAAAAATAAAGAAATTTTTTTTTTTTGAATAAAATTATTCAATTTTAGCTCAATCTTTTCATCTGATGTTCATATTTCTGAACGTCATGCTCAAGCTATGGCTAATTATATTCGTACAAATGGTACAAGTATAATAAGACAAGCACGACGTGTTTTCTTATGGAATAATTTAACGACTTCAATTATTGTAAATAATTTTCGAAATTTTTATTTTTATTTTTAAATATCATTGAATTTTAGTTTGGTCTTATTCTTTTCGCTTCTTTTTACATTGGTTTATCAATGAATACACTTACATTTGCACTTGTTGGTTTAGTCTTTTTATTTACTGTACCAAAAATTTATCAAGTTTATCAAGTAAAAATTTCTTCTTTCTTTTCTGAAGAACAAAAGCTCAATTTTCTTATTTTAGGTACCAATTGATCATGTTGCTAAACAAGTTCTTGACCAAATTAATCAAGTTTTAGCTAAGTAAGTTTAAATATCTTTCTAAGTATACATATATAGTAATTTTTCATTCTAGAGTAACAACAAAAGCACCAACAACAGGAGCAGCCAAACCAAAAAAATCTTAAATTATGATTCAAACAAACAGTTCTATTTAGGTTTTATTAAATCTTTTTTTTCTTTTCACATCTAGTCTATTGTGTGCTAATTTCATTAGGCATGGAATGCATCTACATTTTGCTCTGATTTCCTACGTTTTTATATTCTTTATGTTGTGTGTTTGTTTATTTCTTATACAACATGACAAAAAGAAAACAAGAAAAAAAATATATAATTGAACCTTGTGCAAAGCATCTTCCTTATATATGTGTGTGTGGTAGTTACAGTAGAGATTTGGATATTCTTTTCTGCATTTTTTTTTTAACAACGCGTAGTTTTTATATGAATTCTCCTGATAAAAAAAAATAAAGATCGATTCTATTTGTCATGAATGTGAAAACAACAATAAATCAGATGAATGTCTTTTATTAAACATATAAACTTTCAAAAAGTTTAGTCGTGAAAATATGCACATGTACATCAAATCTAGAAAAAATAATAAATAAAACATATGTTAGTAGTTTACATGTTATGCGAAGGTCGAAGTTCTTCGTATGTAGGTGATAAAGAAGAACTTTAGGGGAATCTTCATGATGAAAGGAAATAAACAAATATATGTACGTTATTTTAACCTTTAATGAATAAAATTTTTGTTTAGAGTCGGAATCAGTCTTAAAATTACTGTGTATATACAAATGGACGAAAAGTATTTTCTCGAGATTTAACTATATTTTATCATAACATTACAGAAACAACTAAGTATTTTGCTTAATATAGAAAGACAACAAGTTATGTTAAATATAAGGAAAAGTGAAACGCACGTTCTCGAGATGTTTTTGTACATATACATATATCGAATTTCTCTATCTTTGTCATTCCTTCTTCTTCTTCTTCTTTTCCTTTTCTCTCGTTCTCTCTTTCTGCTGATTATCTACTATTTATTCTTATAGGCACACCCTAGAAAAACACGTTAATCGTTCAGACATATTTACATGTCATTCAATACTAAACTTTGTTTTATATTTATCGGAACGAATTTCTCGACTACAGAATTTTCCATCTTTAAATACTATTCATGTAGTTTTTACTGGTTAACCCTTGTAGTATCACCCACTTTTTTACATTTTATAGGACCGAGAATGAGCTCTAGAAACGAATTTTATATGGTCTCTCGTCCCATGTGAAAATCGTCCTTTTACTCTAAAATTTATTGTTCGTTTCTTTCTCAAACCTCTGTCCATCGTTATCACTTTGTATTCCCTCACATATATCCTATACTCACTCATACTACAAACTATGCAGCAATCTTGCCGTACACTTGTTCATAAAAATTATAAAATAATAAAAAATTTCCTCCTATTCTTAAATTTACCACAACCAGGGTCATTTTTGACCCTGGTTAGTACTACTAGGGCTATTTATTTACATGTCTTATCTTATCTTATTTTCGAAAACATATGTTTATAAAATTTACTCTTTGACATCTAAGTGTACATATGTAAAGAGACATGTGCGTCTCACATATATCTTATTTATAGATCATATTTCTTCTTGTTCATTTAAACAATGTTCGGCATTCAAACTCTTGCATGTTTGCATGATATACCAGGTGAGAAAAATACAAATATTCATTTATTTCTTATCTCTTTTTTTTTGATAAAAGTTGTTCGTTCATCGACTAATAAACTTCAAGATGTCTATGTTCAAGCTAAGAAGAAAAGTGCACTTATTCGACTTCCATGTATGTTAGCCGAAACAGTTGCTGATAAATCACTTAAAATTGCTGTTAGTGTTACCAATCCAATTATGAAACCATTACGTGGACCTGGTAAAATATCATTTAAAAAGTTTAATTCATTTTTTTTAAATTTTTTAATTAGTACGTGTTATTGATGATTTTACTGTTGAAAAAATTCGTCAAATCGAAGCTAAATATCCTGTTATTAATACATCTACTAAAGATGTTATGAATACATTGAACGAAAAAACTGAACCTGTTCGTAATGTAATGAATACTGTTAAAGATACAACTACATCAACTATTCAACATGGCAAAGAAACAGTAAATTTATTTTTTCGATATTCTTCTATTTATTATTTATTTGTTTTTTCTTCTAGGTTTCTAATGTCAAAAATGCAACAGTAAATAAAGCAACAAATGTTGCTGATAGTGTTTATACATTTTGTGAAACTCATGTACCAGGAAGTAAGATAAATTCTATGTCATAAATGTAATCAATAATTTATTTTGTTATATTAGAAACAGTTCCTGTTCATCGTCGAGATTTTGGACAACGAACAACACTTTTATGGGAACGTATCAAATCGATAATTAGTTATCAAGCTGATTATATGTATCAATCAATTGAATTTTTAGTAACATGGTATCGAATGTTGATTGTATCATTTTTACTTAAAATAAAACAAACCAATGATACTATACTTAATAAATTGAATCATAGATCATTATTCTTTGTATTACCACATCGATTATTAATTATTACCGGTATGTTACTTGAATATATGATGACACGTTTCCGTCCAGAAAATCGTACAGAAACAAAACCACAATCTCGGTCAGTACAACAGAAACAATTTGTTAGCCGGTAAAGACAGAATTTATAAAATATGTAATCTTGATTTGTTTTCTTTTCAAAAAAAAAATAGACAAACATTAAAACCTGGTGCACTTGTTACTACACGTCAAAGTGTGGTTGTAACAAAACAAGAAACATCGGTGACTTGTAATGGTGTAACAAAATCTGATTTTAATAAAGAAGAATTATATCCTCGTTTACCTGTTAATCATATTGAACCCGTTCTTGGTAATGATATTGATAAATTACATAATAAACTTCATCCAACCGATACTGAACTTCTTTATTCTCGATTACCTGCTGATGTTATATCAATGACAAATAATTTTGAACCTTTAACAGAAGATCAACGAATGCTTCATGCACAAATTATTGCTGCTGATTTAGAAAAAGAAGTTTACGCACAAGAAGAAGATGAAGACTACTATGTTCAATAAAACAAATTATCTTTGATTCTCTCTTCTTTTCTTTTTATCATTATTTTTTCGTGTTATTTCTTCACTTTTTTTTTGACATCTTTTCATTTATGTTGTTATATGTGTATTTTTATCATCATTCCATGATCTAGAGTTAGTGTTTGTTAAACAATCATACTTGTGATCAATGGTGTTTAATTTTTCTTCCTTTTTTTTATAGTGTCAGAGAGAGAGAGAAAAAAAATAAACAAGAAAAGTATAAAATAGATAGAGAAGATTTTATTGCATCTTGCAGATGCACAATATACAAGTATTTGCAATAGTTTTATTTTGTTTGAGAGGGTGTGGGTTTGTACGGCTGTAAACTATTAGTAGATACACACCCGCACCCACACCCACGCCCTGATTTCCGTATACACTTTTTGCAGTATACATAACTCTCGGATAAAATCCGAAGTTTCCGCATTTATTATATTATTTCAATGATGTTATTTTTAGTGATTATTTGAAACCTTTCAGAATATCGACGAATATGCTTCTAATACACTCATTATTTACACTCTTCGTTTTTTCGATCGGATTCTTAATGTAATCTATAAAGTACATAATGTAAGCGTGATGAATAATAATGATATGCCGAATGAAATATTTAGTTATTCTACTTTTTCATTTAATGGACTGCATCGATATTAATACTATCTTTTTTTATATAGTTTAATAATGATCGTTGGTAGTATGTGTATCCAAATCTATGAAACTAATTCACGACATACTGATTATTCGAGCAACAAACACTCTGATTTTTAGATAAAATCTTTCCTCTATTGACATAGTAACATGCACAGATGTCTACTCGCCGAAGATAGAAACAACTAGATAATGTCTATTATTTTTAGATTTTATGTAAAATTACAACGATATGTATTCAATGATAATATTAAAATGAATTACACATACGATAAATACAAAAGCGGAAAAAAGAGACTATTTATTAATACGATATTTTTGTTCATTCTATTTGATGTAAGACTTATGGAATATATTATATTATTCAAACGAAAATAAGTCTATTATAGATCGTAATTTGACTATCAATTGCTTCTTAATTTGTGATAAATAATTCTTGCTAAAATATACATTCCTAGTATTGTAATATATTAACAAGTAATTGTATTATTCAAGGTCATTATGTAATATTTGATATATACAGTTGACTCTGTTCCTTCATTTACAATGGACTTTATGATTATTATAGGACAAATATGCACAATATTTTTTTATATTCTGCATTCAATAAACGTAGTTTTTTTTATTGAATATCAACCGATGATGTATAAATATTCACTTGTTCTATAATCAATACTGTCGTAGGAGGAATGACAATAATAAATATATTTTTTATTGATACGAGCTTTGACAGGTTTAGAAGTACTTTCTCAGCATATATTGATATACGAAAATAATAAATTTCGTTTTATAAGATTTATTAGTATTCATCTTATCTACTCAAAACTGAAGATAATAGTAGAAAAAAAGTCTATCATCGAACTAATTCCATTATTGACCTCTTACATAAACAGTTTATAATACAAAGTCTTTCACAATATGCACAGTGTGTAATAAGTAAATTTATGAATACTCCAGTCATTATATGTTGAAAATTATATGATATTTATTAATAATTCTGTATAGAAAAAAAACGACTGAGTATATTTCACTATCAGTAATAAAAGAACAAATCATTTGTACATAGAAAAAAGATAACTAAATTCACTGGTACAAATGAAAAATAGTATATAATTAAAATAAGCCATGCAGTAGAGAGAAAGTGTTTTTTTGTATATGTATATATATATTCTTCTTCGATAAACTTATTCCTTATTATTACGTTGAATTTGTTCCATAAGATAATCATAAAATTCTCGACGATCATTTTGTTGTTCTTCACTGCTGTTACTATCATTATCAAGTAATTCACGTAAACTCATTTTATGACCAGGCTTTTTTGGGGCGACATGTTTTCCGCCATGTTTTTTGCCTGGGATGACACATTTATTTTTGCAAGTTTTAGCAGCTTCTTTAATTGTTTTGCCTTTGCCGCGAGATGGAAATCGTTCTTTATGAACGCATTCAATTTCACATTTTGTTTCTTTTTTAACTTGTCGTTTGCTAAATGAAGAATCTTCATCATCATCTTCATCTAAATAAAAAAAACAGAATGAATTGATATAAATAAAAGGTGTATTATTTTATTTTTCTTTGCAAACCTGATGAAACTGATCGTTCCATTTGTTCATTACTGTCTTGTTCATCCTCAAGTTCATTTAAAAGTGAACGGAGTTTTAATTCTAAACCATTGTTGTTTTCTTCATCATCTGCCGTTATATCACGAAGTGATGGATAACTAGCAGCATAAGCGATGAATAAAAGAAGTACTAAAAATATTTAAATAAATTGGTTAGTTTTGAAAATATTTTTGTCTATGAAAATACCTGCGAGTGCGATACGCATTATGAAATAAAGATAGAAAGAGTTTTGAGTGTCGTATGAAATCTTTGTATCAGCTTTTATATAGCTTTCTCTTTTTCTATAAGGTTATTTATATAAATTCTTTTCCTTTCTCTTTCGTACTGTTCTTTTCTCTTTCTATTGACAATAGCATGGCAAATATCAGACAAAAAAA